AGTGGAACTCAAGCCCCTGGCCGAGGCTTCAAAACATCTTTTTACCGACTAGATGTCCCCGTGGAGGGTGGCGACCAAACCCTCTATAATGTAATACTTCATTTTTAGGTGCTTAATGGAGGGAACCGCGATCAGTTCGGCCAGAGTGGGCCTCTCGAAGATGCATTGATAGAGAGATGGGTAATCCACTACCAGAAATTGAGTCTTGATGGCTCTGACGGTTACCCCTCTTCTGAAGGTGACGATCAGCTCGACGTACCCCTAAGGTTTGGTACTGGCCCCATTGAAGCCCTGGAGATCTAAGCCTACTTACGGGGTCAGGTAGCTTTTGTTCACCTGTAGGGTAGTGAACAAATGACTATACATGATGTCTACCGATCTACCTTGATCAACCAATATGCGCCGAACATCAAACTAAATTTTGCCATACGAGCCCTCACGAGCAGTGGGATAGTCGAGTTGGGGGCTCTTCCCGACAATTCTTCCCTGTAGAAAGCGAGGGGATGATAACCTCCTCAGAAATTGTCTAACGTGGCATCCATGTTACATTTGGCTTCAATAAGTTACTCGAATATTATTTCACGAATCCCATTGTGTGCTTGTTGAATCCCCTGCTAGAGATGACCATTGCAGCATGAAATGACTACCAAGGACTATGAGAGGAAAAGTACAATAGGACACTCTCCATGTATGGGAAGTAGAAATCTCCTGGTTGCGAGATACTCATGGCGACCAGTATAGCACTGATGTCGGGGGACTCCTTCCCTTCTTCGACGCTCTTGGTTTCTGGAGCCTCCTCACGGGCACCCTATGTCTTCTTGTACTGCTTGAGGTGCCCGTCTCAGATTAGTATCTCGATTGTATCCTTGAGATGGATGCAATCGCCAGTGTTGTAACCATGGCTTTTATGGAACCTGCAGTATTTGCTCTTGTCGGCTTCGAGCTTGGAGGGCGTCTGCCGGGGAAAGTGCACCCGACCTGTTTGAATTTATAATTAGAGCATTCAGACATAATGCATTCTCTTGAAGTGGTCAGAGGGGTGTAGTCGTGAAATCGACCAGCAGGCCCCTTGTAATATTTGGAGTCTCGGGATTTGTCTTCCCGCTTCTTTTCTCCCCCTCCAACGGGATGTCGAGGGCTCATCGCTTCTTGAAGACTTGGCACTCTCTCGGTGCCTTGACTCCCTGGAATTGTTGGCGGCTTCTTTATCTTCGTATTGAATGTATGCTTGAGCCTTAAGGAGGAGGAAGTCGAGCATGGCTAGTGATTCGATGCCCACCGCTTTTGCAAAGTCGCTATGAGGATAGAGCCTACGTTCAAGAAGCACTCGATATATGCTCATAGATATTCATCTCTGCCCTGGATAATCGCTTCAAGTGAAGCTTCTGATTTTGAATGTCGATGGGAGGAGGTGAAGTGCCTCGAGAACATCCTCCCCAGCTGTTTCCAAGAGGTAATAGACTCGTCCTAGTGGCTTTTGTACCAAGACATGGCTCATTTCCTCAAGGTAGTCATGAATAGTCTGCACTTGATGGCGCCCCTGACCCCTCGGTAGGCGAGGAGGGCATCGATATTCTCTATGTGTTCATCAGGATCGGTTGTATCGTCATACATTCCCAGCGATGGTGGCTTTTCCAGGCCGACTGGAGACGGGTCTCTGTGAACTCTCTTGATAACGTGTCGTTAGGCTCGTCATCATCGCTTTCCTCGGAGGATGAATGCGGGGAAGGATAGTTACTTCCCCGTCAGGCATCATTGTCTCATAGATACTCATCTCTGCCCTGGATAATCGCTTCAAGTGAAGCTTCTGATTTTGAATGTCGATGGGAGGAGGTGAAGTGCCTCGAGAACATCCTCCCCAGCTGTTTCCAAGAGGTAATAGACTCGTCCGAGAGGCTTTTGTACCAGGACATGGCTCATTTCCTCAAGGTAGTCATGAATAGTCTGCACTTGATGGCGCCCCTGACCCCTCGGTAGGCGAGGAGGGCATCGATATTCTCTATGTGTTCATCAGGATCGGTTGTATCGTCATACATTCCCAGCGAGGGTGGCTTTTCTAGGCCGACTGGAGCCGGGTCTCTGTGAACTCTCTTGATAATGTGCCGTTGGGCTCGTCATCATCGCTTTCCTCGGAGGATGAATGCGGGGAAGGATAGTTCCTTCCCTGTCAGGCATCATTGTCTCATCGGGGGGAAGGGCTCCTTCGGTGCAGTCTTGGTTTGGGCAATGGTGATCGGCCGCGGTTAACTTGGCGGACATTCTTCTTCTTCTTCTTCTTGGACGATGGAAAGATTTGGTCTTTCTTGGGAGGTGTGCAGTTGCATTTCTTGAAGAAAGAAACGTCGCACTTCTCCTTTTTTGGCAAACGATCACGTCTAGACGGGGATATGCTAGGGGAATCATGTCGTCGTTGCATCTGAGGAAGAGACTTTGACTGTTTCTTCTCCCAGGCCCCTATCTTCTTGTCCTGCTGCAGGATAAGAGCGTTAGCCTGGTTGATGACATCGAGTAATGCTGCAATAACCTGATCGTCGTTATGAGGAATGATAATTGGTTACAGAATCTCCGGCAGTTCCTCGACAGGGTTCTTGGGATGCTGCTCGTCCAAGAACTGATGATTGTCGCGCTGGGTGTCGACTGAGTCTGGGGACGCATGTTGGCCATTGTGGAAGCCGAGGTTATCCTAGAGGTGAGGATGTTCTTGACATCTGTCGGTCTTATGCGTCGGGGAAAGTGCAGTCTTTCTAAATAGGTGGTGATCATCACGGTCGACCATGATTGATGAATGAGGAGGATCTTTGGTCTTCAGATTCTGGGGAACAGAAAACTAGGGATATAGTTTCCACAGACGGGGCCACTGATCTTACCGGTTGTTTAGAACCTGCAAGATGGCCGGATGATGATCTTCTGTCGGGCTGGAGAGTCGAGGAGGAAAAAAGGGGATTGTACCTGCAAGACACTCCGAAGATCAAGTAAGTGTGGGAACAAAAGAGATACAAGCAAAGTATTAGGGTCTTAGTGATGAATAATGGATATTTGATACCTGACTCTCACATGTGTGAGGGTATATATAATGCCCTCAACGCTTGGCCATTGGTTCCTATTTTTGGGCCTAGATATGCGGGCCCATAAAAATAGGTAACTGCCAGGACTGGGTCAAAACGGGAAGGTGTGCCCTTAACTAGCCATTGGATCTGAGGAGGAGGCATATTACAAGCAAATGGTTGTTATGGATGGTTCCTGATTGTCTACTCGACTCGAGTCAGGCTGACGGGAGACAACTGCTGACTGGGTCAGGTGTCCATGTCGGACGTCACTGGTCGTATGTCCAAGGACGTGGTCGACCAGGATGTTGGACTATTGTTGTTGGGCCGTGCTAATGGTAGAAGTGGATTGGGTCAATTCTAGTCATTGGACCAGTTCAAAACAGGTAATAATCAATGAATATATATATATATATATATATATATATATATATATATATATATATATATATATATATATATATATATATATATATATATATAGACTCATATTGTTTTATTAAAAATGTAATTTTAAATATTATTTAAAAATGTAATTCTAAATATTATTTAAAAAATTATGATTATAAATAAAAAATATTTCTTCTTATCTATTTAAAAATTTCACCTTTTTAATTTGAATTTTATTCTATACATTTCAAGTAAATCATAAAACTGATAGATTTTTTTATAGATTATGAAATAGCACTAAAAATGTGGATAACAAAATTAAATATTAAATAACGAGTATATGAGAATATAATTGTGAATTAAAAATAATTTTTCAATGTATATAAAACTAATTTTGTTTTAAAATATTTAAATAATAGATAAAATTTATCAATTTTAATTTTACTCATAATTATAGATTTTCTTATATAGCTTTAATATAATTTACTCATAGTTTTAATTTTTTTTATATACCTCTATATAACTTTTTACTCTATTCAAAATCCAATACAAAATTATGTTTTAATTTAAACAAATCTAAAATGATTTATAGAAACAAAATATAATAAATAAAGGATTGTAAAATTTATTCAAAAATTAGAGGAAACATTATTTTATAAAAAAATATTTGATATTAAAAATATATAAAAAAAACTATTTCCTTTTGAAATGTTAATAAGAATCACCTTTAATACAAAAGTTGTTAACAAAAATTAGAAAAATGTAATTGATACTGTAAAATACCTTTCACTTTTAGTAATAAATAAAGTTGATCAACTTTCTCGTATTTTAAATTATTCTTAAACAAATTTCATTTTATATGTTTAAAAATTATTTTTAATTAACAATTATATTCTTATATACTCATTATTTATCATTCAATTTTTATACACTTTTTTAGTGTTATTTCATACTCTATATAAAAATGTATCAAGTGCATAAAATATAATTTAAATTAAAAAAAATGAAATTTGTTTATAAATAAAAAGAAATATTTTTATTTGTAATCATGATTTTTTTAAATAATACTTAGAATAACATTTTTGCTAAAAGAATAAGAAGAATTATGTGAGTTGTTGAACCTAGAAGAAATGAGAGAAAATTATTTTATTTTATATAATTAAATTATTATGATTTAGTATTGTAGAATTTATTTATTACCAAAATAAGAGAATACTATTTTAATAAATATGATATGGGAAAGCGATACAACGAAGACTATTAGCTGCCATTCCTTGAATAATACTTTCAAATTTTGACATGATTTCATTGTCAAGATATTTCACAACACCATAACCATCAGAGTATCTTGAACACATTTTTAGTACCATCTTTAATGCTCCTTTTCAGTGTGCATTAACTTTGTTGCTAACATTTATTTTCAACAAAACTCCACTCTTTTTCTTCTTTGAGTTGAAAGTCGCAACTTGAATAATATAACAACTTTTTATCAAAGTTTCCATCACCATATTCAATTCCAAAACAACCTATGATAATATTGCATTCTCGGTCGGACTTCTAAAAAACTCAAATTCTTCTAAAAAACTCAAATTTTGAACCAGAGTCTGATTTAGGTTCATGAACACCACCAGTTGTATTATGAACAACTCCTTCTTTAACCAATTGAAGAACAAATAGATCAACATTTAAGTATGCACCCTCTTCCAATGGTTCAAGATTAAGCCAAAACTGTGTCACCTTCATCTGATTCAAAGAAGGGTTTTCACAATCATAAGAACTTGATCTCATAATTGTTAAAATTTGGTTCTTTGTGAACTTTAAACCACAAAGGAAATTAACACAGTCCTTTGGCGTAACAACATATATCAAACATGGATTCATTGCTCTATTAGGATCAATATCACCAGCACCAATAGCGAGAGGAGAAACATGTTAAGAAGGGTAAGTACTATCCCTTATATGATTATGTGTATTATCCATAGGATTAGATGTGGTTATTAATGCATATCTTAGAGCAACAACACTCCATTGTGGATGTGCAAATTTCACAAGAGCAATGATTCCTGAAGCATGAGGACAAGCCATAGATGTTCGTGTCATGAAATTGTAGTCTCTTGATAAGACCATATTTGTGCCGATTCTAGCTGATGGTTTATTAGGAACATAAGGAGCCAGAACTCTAGAACCAAGATCCATTATGCCATGCTTCAAAATCCAAGGAAAGCTATGTGAAGGACCTCTTGAAGTGTAACATGCTGCAATTGGTGCTGGCTTTATTACAACATATGTTTGTTGAAACCTAATGCATGCCGTAGGATTTTTGTGTCATTTTGCATAGTTGATCACATATTTTTCATCTTTGGGCCTGATTACAATAATTGGAGAGTACCAATGTCTTGAATAAATTAAATCAGGATTATAAGAGACAAAAACTGCCCTTAATACTTCTGTTTCTGTGATAACATTGATTTGTTCAGACACTGTTTTTAAATTTGACATTGATTCATCATCACAAAGAATGACGACTTGTTTGTTAACTCGAGACAAGAGCCTCACCGAGTTGCACGGAGATAAATTTTTATTGTAAAAAAGTGGAAGATTTTCAACTAGAGTAGCATTTTTATGCAAACAAAGTCCAACCAATAATGTTTTTGCCATTTCCCAAAACAAGAGTACCAAAAGTTCTGTCTATTGTTCCTAAAACTATTATAATGAGCCATGGGATATCCTTGTGTAATGTTCCAAGATAAAGTCCTAAATTACCCGCAGAAGATGAAACAATAATCCCCTTCTCCATTGCTGTAATTGAAGTTATTGCAATATGATCTTCATAAAGTGGAACATCATCGAATCTCATGGAAATTGAAATCCCGTCAACACTGTCCATAATTGCTTGACCCATTCCAGCTAAAACACCATAAGCCAAAAGACCTTCTTTCCAATTGAATTTATAAATATCAAGCCTAGATTTTGGTGCAATACCTCTTGCTACTCCTTTAGCACAACCAAAATAAGAAGCTCCATTAACACAGTTACCTTTGTTGAAATATCTAGCTTCAATCAATTTGAAGTTGCACATGGATGCGTTGAATTCTTGGCCAGTTTCACATGCTCCTTTCCATTTGCTTGGAATTTCCTTTGTCATAACATCATCTTTGAAGCTTTGAATCTCAGTCCACACACCAGAATCGATAACACCAACAATTATATCCTCACCAGAATCAGAATTCTCATCAACAAAACTCCTCACATTCTCTTCAATTTCCACATTTGCCGTCACTGATGTATCCTTAATTAGTACCATATCTCTAATCAACTTATGATAAGGAATAAACCTAGCTTCAAGCTCATCTTTATTCAACCCTTTAAACAAACTATTATCCTTCATCGCCTTCAAACACTCAACCCCATTAACATCATTAATAACACCATCAACCGAGATCTTATCTTGAATATCAGAAAGTATAACTTTTGATGCATCTGGGTTATTCAAATCAAGCATCTCCTTTGTTTTATTTATACCCGAGGATATTCTCTTCACTTTCCCTTCCAGAAACAAAAGCTTCTCATGAAGCTTACTCTGATACTTGTTACTGTTGCTGGCGTTTTCTCCAACCCTAGCACCATTTGTCGGATATTTAGTGGTTCGATCAACGGAGACACGACGAGTTTGATGAAGATCAGAAGGGATTGTACTTATCCATCTTGGAGAGACGAAGACGCAGATGAGGATCTCCTATCAACGCGAGCAATGGGTTGAGTTACAAAATTTTAAGGCGGGTATGAAGTGGGTCTACGAGTGTTATTGTTTTCCTTTTCGGGCATGGAAGATAATAAAGGGTTGGAAGAAAGGGATGGGAGTTTCTAGGAGGTAGAGAAAAGGGTTATGGATCTAATGGTTTTTTGAGAGGTTTTTTTTTGGATCTTTTCTTAAAACAAGGATGAGACACTTGCAAATGCTTCTCTCAATCTCTTCTAATACTAGAGTGGTTTTGATATTTATGACTAATTGTGGAGGTGTTTGTTGGTTGTATTTGTTGGTTGTAGTTGTTGGTGACAATTGTTGTAGTAGTATGCATAATGAGATGTTTAATAGAATGAATATGGGTTAGGATTAGGTGTATGTGGTGAATATCCATAATTTAAATACAAACTTAGTGATGAAGATGCAACATGAATGTAACAAGGTGTAAAAATTTCCCATGAAAAAGATGGAAATGTGGGTGTTGTAGGAGTTATAAAAGAGGGGTTTGTAGGATAGATAGGAGAAATGCTCTATGAATGATATGAGGGTGTATGATAAGGATAATCTATATGAGGATTTGAGTATATAAATGAAAACACCAATTGATAGAATGTTAACCAAGAATCCTAACAAGACTAATAAAAGATAATAAAAACTAGAAAGTTCTAAAGATAAACTAAAGAGATAGAGATAAAAGATAACTTTTGATTTCATTTGATAATCCCAAATATCTCATGAAAGTACATGTATGTAAACACTTGTAATGGATAATAGAGTTAAAGACTCAAAGACTAAAAAATCCAACAAAAATA